CCCTTAATTTTTTTTGGTTAATTTCTTCAACACAAAATTCATTTACTTAAAAACTGCCTTTTGCTATGGGCAATTGTTATATTTGTGCTAGAAGAAAGCACCCTTCTCCAAACAGAAAATGAGACTGTAAGAGCTATTCAAGTGTTTTTTCATGCAAGAGCACTGGCTGTTGGGCAAAAAGAGAGAGAGGGAGTGCCTCCAGCCATGAAGATCCCTCTATCTCTTTTGTCTTGGGCAAAATTGAGCTAAAGTGCTATATTCTCCAGTGGCAAGCTGTCAGGGAGCCCTTTGGGAGCCCTGCTGCATTCTCCTGGGTCGCCTGGAGCTGTGCGCGTGGCAAGACAGGCAGTGCAACTACCTCCGTCTGATGTGATTCTGGGGAAGGTGAGCAGTGGGCCAGGGACAGCTCTTCTCCTGGTCTTCAGGGTGCGAGACAGGGAACACCAGTAACTGCCCCTCTCCTCTTCCTTTGCCCTGAACTGTCCCGACAGGGGAAGGTAGCAATGAGGCACAGCCCATTGCCCCTTTCTGAAGTCGGGCACTTCCCTGGCTCAGAGAAGGGGCTTGAGGGGCTGTTTCTCGCTGTGTTCCCTCTTCCCAGCCAGGTGACAGAGCTGCTTCCTCTTTCCAGGAGTCGAGCAGAGAGAGCAGCAGCACAAAGCCCCCTGCCTGCTTCTTATCCAATGTGAGAAGCACTTGGGGAGCTGCACTGATCCTTGCCACTTGGCTCCCAGTGTCCAGCAGCTGAGTGGAGGGAACAGCCTGGCAAAGCTTTTCATATGGAAAACTCTGTTGTGAGAAGCCAGTGGGAGTAGCTGCTGGCTACTTCTCCCCTCCAGATTAGAGATGTAAAATTTCTGGAAATTTTGAAGCCATTGGAAAAAAACACATTTTTTCTGGGGTGCTTTCGTGGGGAGGGAGATGGAAATTTGGGGAAAAATTGAAATATATGCAATACTTATTTTCTTACCACCCTTTACAGATCTAAATTCACTTTACTATTTTAAAAACATAAAGTGTATTATATATCATTTGGTTTGCTCATAAAATTATCATGTTTGGTATATTTATTAAATTTACAAGTGTAGTTTATTCAGACAGTAATTACAAATTTACTAATTGGATTCACTTTAAAATGTTTTTAATTTTTGTTACAAATGGAGCTACAAGCTGCTCTTAATTCTTGCCAGTTTATGAGAAGCAGGCAAAAATTAAAGTTGAAAATAATAGAAACCATCAACATTATAGTAAAACAAAGAAAGTTGTTATGTATTCTGGACTTGGTCTCCTCCACAGTGTCAAGCAGATGCAGAAAGGACTCATTTTTAGAAAAAGAGCTGAGGAAAAAAGGAATAAATCAAGACTCCTTGAATACAAATTTTGCTACATGAAGCTGTGTCTCGTCAGTCTCATTTTCTGAGCTATCACTATCAGCAGTATCTGCTGTTTCTGATTCTTCTGATCCTTCATTGTTATCATCTTCATGACTTCTGCAAACTGAAGGTTTGCCGGAATTGAGACGAGCTTCTCTACTCTTTTGTGTGTTAGTTTATTTCTTCATTTGGTGCCAGTATTTCCAAACATAGACCAGTTTCTTTCACATGCTGCACAAGATGGAGGAATATGAAGCAGGGAAGAAGCAAGAGGAGTCGGAGGCTGTGTTGTGAAAAGGCCTTGCCACCATCTTGAAAGAGGGATGGGCTTGGCAAAATCCCAGGCTGCATTCCTGAACCAAATACCTGAAGATATTCTGTATTCTGCAACATTTGAGAGTACCTTTCTAGCATCAAGTCCTAAGTGTGTTGCTTGTTTTGTAATTCAGTCAAATGCAGTAGCAGTGTTATCATCATTAACATTTCTGCCTTTGAATCTTAGATCCAAGAGATTTGCAGCAGCATGAATTGACTGGCAACAAAATTCTTCCTGTCTGTTAATGAAGTCTTTCACTTTTTTTTCTTCTGTACTTGTGAGCGGAGATGCACTTAAATTCTCAAAAGCAGTTGATTTTTATCTGTTCCATTTGGTAAGGAATGTCTGACAAAAGTGCACTGTCTGATTCAAATGGAGTGATTGCTGAAGAAAGTGGCTTTAGAATCTTCAGGGAGTTCTGCAGCTGAACCCAGAAGAAGTCCTCATCAAGTACAGTGTTCCTTACACTTCTGGGTACTTTAAGGTCCTCAGTTTTTACTGTTTCTTGAAGAGCTTCTTTGTTTTTTAGTAACCTTTTAAATGAGATTACCACTCCTCCCCAATGCTGCTTTCATGTTACTTGCATTGTCAGTCAGCAACACAAATACTTTACCACTCCCGATCTTCTGTAAGACTTCACATATTTTACTGCTAATATACTCTGCAGTATGCCTGTTCTCTCCTGTTTCAATGCTTCTGTAAAAAAAACTGGTTGAGGTTTTGTTATCACAAAGTTTATGATTCCTTCTCCTTGCAAATTCGTCCATCCATCGGTAAGTACTGCAAGTTGCAGTGCTTCGTTGATTTTTCCTTGTACAGATTGCATTATACATCCATATCATGACTCTAAAAGAGGTTTGCTCAAAGAATGTCTGCTGGGCAAATGGTATGATGCTCTTAGTAATTTAAAAGCTTCCTGCCAGTATGCATTTTCAGTTTTTGGCATCCCAGAAGAATATTGTTCTTGCAAGGGCTTGGTCAATTTTTTCCTGATTTTTCAGGTGTCATCTTGTCTACAAATTAAGCTATTGAGAGTCTTTTGCATACAGTTAGTTGCAGTATTTGGTTACTTGAGGATGTTGATTGGGCAACCCTTTGTGATGCTGATGTTATAGAAGCAGCAGCAATAGGAGGACTTCTGGATTGAGAATGCTGGAAAGAGCTACTTGCACTTTCATCATCATGATCGACCTCCTCCTCACTTACACCCAGGAAGGATTTTTTAATGTCTGCAGGACACTTCTTACATACAAGGATGTGTTTGGTAATTCAGTCAATTCCTAGTAGCATTTGGAAATGTGTATTTCATTTGACAGTATTTGCAGATCACTTTTTTTTTCTCAGAATAACTTGCAATATGGAAATGCTTCCATATGCTAGAAGTTGGTCATACCATTTTGCTGAGGAAAGAAAAAAGAAAAATGTAATTTAGTAGCTAGCTTGTCTATATAAACACTAAGCTACAGCATGTACAAATTAAGTAATGGGTGGAGGTGAGGCCTCTTCAGAGTTGACTGTGAGCAACTTGCCTGCCCTGCATGCCTCACCTCACTGCACAGGTTGGGGGACTTGTCACAAAACATCAGATTAGTAGGAATTCAATTATGAATTACATAGGTTATGAAAATATATTAATGCAGCTAAAATGTAGTTTAATATATTGAATTCAAAGAAATTTCAACTCTTACCTTTCAATAAAGATGTATACTTTCTATCAGTTCCTTTGTGCTGCTTCTGTACTTCTGTGGATCTCAAGGTCACAGGACCAGGAGGAGGCAGATTCTTTCCAACTCCAGAAACTTTAGACTTGCTCTGTCTCCTCTCCAGGGGCTTTTGAGCAAGCAGGGCAATAAGCTGCTTGTTTCTAATCTCTACAGGAATGAATGAATGCTGCTGCCAGTGTCTACTTCCAGTCCTTTGAGGCCAGGAGCAGATCTACCAACCTCTAGATCAAAAGTCAACAATAGAGGAAATCCAAAAGCAAAGAAAGCACTGAATCCTTCTTCCTTCTCTTGTGGAAATTAGCAGTGTCCCCTGGGGCAGAAATGCATCCTGCTCTTGCATTTGAGTTGGACTGTACTGCTTGTCCTCAGTGTACAGGAGTTGTAATGATATGATGCTGTTGATAGTCTTGCATAAAAGTCTTCCTATTACAGTTATTAGAAAACATTTTGGGGGAACTAAAGGGTAGCAGTATATGAACACACTCTCTTAAACATTTTATTCATCGTTGTAAAAAAAATAATCCATAAGAGGTTTTTTAAATCAATTTTTCCAATTTTTGGGAAAAAGACCAAAAAAAAAAAGTCCTGGGGGCGGGGACAGGTTTTTTTTCTGAATTTTTCTGCTTTTTTTCCGGGCCTTCACATCTCTACTCCAGGTCTACAGGAGGGATGAGAGCAGCTGCCGCCTATACCTCCTCAAGACTGGAGTAACCCTGGTTTTGGGAAAACATGGGAACCTTTCCCTCAGCTCTGCCCCTTCTGGTCCCCAGGAGGAGTGAAGCCAGGGGATGTGTATAGCCATTCAGTCTCCCAGAATTCTGCAATTTAACCCTGCTTGTTCTGGAGTTGTTTTTTTTTTTTGCCCAGACCAGCCATTTTTGCTCTGGGAGGAAAAAGCCTGAATACATGTAACTTCTAGCTTTACCAGGAAAACAGCTATTCTCTCAACAGAAAATGAATGTCTGTTCGTAGCCTTTGTTCCTCCCCAGCCAGAGGGCTAGGACACGTATATGTTCCACCTCACCATGTTTTCCAGCGGTTTCCCTAACATTTGCAGTACGGAATTGAGTGCCTGTCCTAGCATTTATTGAAGAGAGGTTGGCAATTGTAGAAGAATGAACAAAATGAGCAAATGTGCATTTTGAAGATGCAGCTCCCCACCCCTTTTTGAAGCACTTATGTTTGTCCATAGCCTATGTCTGCTTCCTTGTGTGTAAAATCAAAATCCTGTCTCCATAACGATGCGGTTAGGAGTGATTAGCTGCTGTGTATGCTTTTGTGTTGTCTGGCACTCCATACTAGCTTTCTCTCTACCTTCTTCAGATTGTATGTAAAATCTGTAGTTTTAAATAGATTCTAATTTCTGGGGAAGAATTAGAATAGGGGGAGTATGGTGATGTGGCAGAAGAACAGAACAGTCAAAAGGCATTTTTTTACCTTATTTTCTATCCAGAACGCCCATCGGTTCTATTAGTTATTCATATCCTGCTGACTGGAGGTCCCTAGGTTTTGAGCATGAAGTAGTTGTATTAATACAGGAGAATTTTGCAAACTTTGGGCCACTTGATGTTTTCCTGTTTGTTGTAGGACATTGCCATCATTAATGAGGATAACTTGCCAGTGTTCAATCGCTGTGGGATCATGGCATTGGTTGCAGCTTACCTCAATTTTCTAAGTCAGATGATTGCAGTCCCTGCTTTTTGCCAGCATGTCAGCAAAGTAAGTCTGGAATGAGCCTCCTTTTTTTTTATGTGGTATTTCCTGCTGTATAATATTTAAATAACTTGCTAAATAATAGTTTATTTTTCTATGCTGATGAGATACTGAGATTAAAACACTAACTGTAGTAGGTAGAATATTGGAAAATGCTACTGTTAAGTTCTTACAAGCACTTCCTACTTTTTCATAACTTGTATTGGTATTCAAATCTGTAGCAACTGTCTATCTAATAACTGTACCAGAGGGCACATTTCTCAGTATCCAGCTGCAGAACCATAGCAGTATCGAGTTAGGTCCACTGTGTGAGATTCTAGGGAGAGAATGGATATAAACTACATAATAATGAGATCTAAGAATATTCTGTGTCTACCAGTACTACTATATCAGTCTTTCAGGCCAGCTAGCACATTAGAGAACGATCACCTTTTCGTATAGCATGTTTATTTTAGTAAAGCAGTATATTTTAATTCTTTAATGAACCAGATCCATTACCACTGTAGCTCTGTAACCTTCAGTGAAGATGTACTGATTTGCTGCAGCTAAGAATCTGGTCTGCAGTCGGCAACCTAAGCAGTTGTTAGATGCGGGTTATTTCAGGAAATAAAATTTAGTTTGTTCAAGCTAGAAATGTTTGCAGTAGGTTGCAATAGGTACGCTTATTTACATATGCACACAAATGTTTAAATATGTAAATATAAGATTGAAAAGGTTTCATTCATTCCTTCAAATCAGACTCTAGTTTTCCTTGTTTTACAGGTCATTGAAACTAGAACTGTGGAAGCACCCTGTTTTCTTCCAGAAAACATATTCAACAAGTGCACGTATGAAAATATATAATTTATAATAGAACAGATGGGGATGCATTTAAATATATTTGTACTGTGTACTTCATAGGAGTAGGTTGACTATATGGAGAACTGACATAAAATATTCAAGGAACATATTCTCAGGAGAGGGCAAGTTAGTATTAAAGAAATAAAATGGGACACTCAGCATTTTATATTAATTATTTAATGAGGTTAATCCAATATACCTGCATCTTGATGCTGTGGCACTTGAGCAATTTTAGGTATCTTAGGCCCCCTCTACATGTGCAGGTAAAAGTGCAATAAGATCTAATGCACAATTCACGCAAATAGTGTGTCCTGCAATGCCACACATGCATGGAGGAGTGATTGTGGGATCACATATTGGATCCCATCGCTTCTTATTGCTGGTCTCCCCACTCTAGGGTTCATGAAATGCCTGCAGGGTGGGAAGATCACACTCATGTAGTGGGAGATCACCACAGGGGCAATCCTCTTGTCCCAGGAGTTTCATGCAGCCCGGGACAGTGAGATTGCTGGGTAAGGGCAAGGTACACCTCTGCAGCTGGGAGCCTCCACAGCTGATGGGGCTCCCAGCCGCAGGGGAGACCCTGCTACACATGCAAATTAAAGCTTGATAGCAATCGGCTATAAAGTTAGTCCTCAATAAAGTGTAATAACTTTATAGTTGGTTGAAGCTTTTTATTGTGTGATAAGTACTTTGCACGTGTAGCTGGTCTGAAGGTAGTTGTACAATTAACCAGTTAATTGCACAATACCCATAATGTGTAGGGAGAGCCTCAATGTATAACTTAAAAATACAGGCTGCTTGTAGACATTAAAAAACACACACACACCCCCGTGCTTTACCAGAAGAAGCAGTGTATTACTTCGACTTGGCTCCGCCGCATCCATATAGATTGAGTGCTTCAGCAGGACTTTTTGGTGCTTTTATCTAAAGTCAGTTCAAGCACCTATTAGATTAAAAACTCCAGAAAAGCCCCACTAAAATGCCCAGTCTATACAGACATCGGGCAAGCTGGGTCTAACTAATACACTGCCTCTTCTGGGCATGTGCTGGTATCAGCAAAGGAGCGTGCAAGGATTAAAGTAATGCGCTGGGTTTTTGTTTTGTTTTGGGTTTTTAAATGTCTGTAAGCAGTCATAGTATCCTAAGCACTTTACCATGTGAGCACTACACCAAACAAAAAGAATTATTGTCTCAGCATGATCTTTCAACCCCATGAAAAACATATTGGAGAAATTGAATGCAAGTAAAAAACATCTTTTCTTTCTTTGTGATTACTTCACAACTTTGAGAGAGTGGATAAATTGAAAAGAGGCCAAAATAATTAAAGCCCAGACTGTGAAGGATAAATAGTTTTAAATTTCAGATAAACCAGATATAGTGAGTTCACTCTTAGTATTGAAAAACTGCAGAAAAATTAGTGTTGGCATGTGACCAGTTGAATTATCTTTATTTCCATCCAAATGTTTCTACTTCCCTGAGTTGACTGAAAACTTGTGAAAGAATCTTTTTTTTGATCCATGTCAGTAAATATTAACTGTTAATGTATGTTTAACAGTCTTCCAAAATCCTTGGAGAAGCACGAAAAAAATTTGTTTTTCCTGACAAACAAGATTGCAGAGTCATTAGGTGGCAGCGGATACAGTGTGGAAAGACTGTCGGTTCCATATGTGCCCCAAGTAACAGGTAAGCAGTGATAAATGGTGCATCCATTACAGTAGCAACTATTCATAATTCATTTTTATGCCTTGTCTGTCACTTCACCCAAAATGTATGCAACTTAAGTACTTGGAATCAAATGCATTGAGGGTATAATCACAGAATTCTTCAGAAATAAGAATTTGTTCGCGGTACAGAAAATACTGTGAAGTTTCTCTAATTCAGATTGAGTAGTCAGTTTTCTCTGAAGATTAAGCAGAAAGGAAAAAGGTTTTGTTATAGGTGTTCTGTGTGTGTGTCTACGTATACACAAACACACACACACACACTTTTTAAAAAATAAGTTATGCCCCGATTTAGAAAAGCATCCCTATTTAGGAAGGACATTTAAATGTAAATGCTCCAAAGGACTCTAACATATATATTTAAAAGTAATCATGTGACTAGTTGCTTTCCTGAAAAGGGTTGGATTTAACATATTTAGTCTTTCCTGAATCAGGACCTTAATTGGTTGTTCAGGTGTACTTGGATAAGTAAAGTGGTTATTTTATTTTGGTTTTTCAGAAAAATGACCTGAACTAATGATTACAGGTGCAAGATTAGCACTGTGTAGGAAAACAAAATTTCCATCTAGCAGAACAGTCTGAGATTTCAAAATGTAATATAGTCAAAATCAGGACAGAAATAAAATGTTGGAGTTTATAGTGAAAGGAAATATTAAAATATTTATTGACCTTAGATTTATAATGTAATAGAATAAGTTTTAAGAAAAACACTTTGAATTTTGATTTCCATAAAAATGTAAACTAATTTGATGTATTCTGGTAAAATATTTTTGGCTTCGTTGAATTAACATTTTTAACAACAAAAAAAAGCTCTGTGAGAATTTATCTAGTCCCAATTTATTAATTTTAATGGTTTATGGGATTTTTAAAGTTTGTGGTAACGAGTACAAACTTCTTCAGTAGACAGGTTAATTTTGTTACACTGCCCCATCCTGCTGAAAAAAATGAAGTGTTGGAAGAAATAAGAGGTCGTCTTTCTGTCTCTTTTCAGATCTAATCTTTGGAAAGTCTTAAGGTGTTTTATATTTAAGCAATAGGATTTCTTTTGATTTTTCTGCATTTCTTCCCAATTTTTGCGTTATAGCTGATAATTAAACATACATTTTTGTTCTTGTTATATATTTTTGAATTTAGCTCTATTTCCATCAGGCAAAAAGCCTCGTAAATGCAGACACAAGTCAAAAGGTAAACCAAACTATAGGTCCGCTTGCCCTCCGCATAGCTGTCCTCTGCGTGGCTAGGGCATTCTCAGCCACACAAGCTGCTTTTAGAAAACCTCTAGATAAATAGTCCAAATATTGTGTCGTGTTTAGTTTTTATGTTTTAGCTGTCCTCCTGTTTGCTGCTGATACTGTAGCTATCTTTTTTCAGGTTATACTTTATTTTACTCTTGGAGTTTCTGTCTAAAATGCAGCACTAACTACTGGTTGTACTTCATGGTAAGCTGTAGCAAGATGCCAGGCATCGACAGCATGGTTCTGTGAAAAATTTCAAAATGTGGAAGGTTTTTTGGTTTTTAAACAATATGACAATATTGCATTTTTCATATTTAACTAAAATCATTTTTTACTTGTTCCACATCTTTTGTTGTGCCACAAGTTTTAAAATTGAAAATGTATATATTGTTCATAAAAATTCAAGGGAAGGTAGAAGTTAATGGAATTGAGCCAGGGACTTGGGACTTTTGGTACAAGGGGGAGGTTCCAGAAATCTCGTCTGTGACTGCAAGGAAAATAAATTAGCTCAGGGCTTCTGGTTAAGAAGATTTCCAGTGAAATACCGTATTTTCTTGTATATACAACATGCCCCAAAATAAGAAACGTGTCTCATTTTAGGAAAGCAAAATGAACTAAGAAGGGTTTTCCAGAGTCCTGGCTCAGTTCTGGGACCATGGAGCATGGGCAGAGTCTACTCATCATCCTCCTTTCCTGCTCAGCCAAAAACTGCTGCCATGTTAGCAGCGGCCATGCCAGGGTTAAGCCTCAGCTTTTAGCTGAATAGCAGACACTGCCTTTCCTACCTGCAACCTGGAGGGAACAGCCCCTGGCATCCTCTCTGGCACGTTCAGGCCTCCATTCCACTGTAGGAATCAGATTCCTTGCTTAAAATGCACACCCCAATCTTCAATGGCTAATTTGTGGGGGAGGAGAGAGACAGGTGCATAGAGTATGTGAGCAAATACAGTTTTACTTTTAGGTCTCAACATGAACTTCTCATCAAGGTGAACAAGGTAGTTCACTCCTGACTACAGTTCAGGAATTTCACACAGCATTAGCTTTCATTCAGGCCTTCTCCTCCACATGAAGATTTTCAGGAATGTTTTTTTGCATTTTAAATTCACATGTCAGCTTAGTGCAAATTGAACTGTTCAGTGCAAACAGGTCCTTATTTTTTGTCATAATGAGACATCCACCAGAACAAGTGGTGAGCTTTCAGCACAGGTGCCACAAGTGGCACTAACAGCCTTTGAATGCGACACATGGTGGACCGGGGAGAGGGCAGGAAGCACAGGGGCAACAGGGCAGGAAGATGGAAGCAGAGCAGCATATTGGGCAGGAAAAGAGAATCAGAGTGGTATTTCGGGAGGGGTAAAGCTAACTTGCAGCATTCCTGCCCAAAAGGTTGGCCCCCACTTCACTAAGGGAAAGCCTGAGCTCAGATTGTAGGGCGGGGTTTAAAAGTATGGGGTGGATTTTTAGCTTTAAGATCCAAGAACATAAAGTTAGATGCCCATTTCCACATGTCCCTATGCAAACCCATTTTGCCTTTTCTCTGTTCTTGGAGAAAGAAAAGTTCCTGTGCTTATGTGGAAACAGTAATGCTGGAAAATAGGCACATACCAGTGGGGATCTACATGGACCAGAGGTGTAACTCTAAATTTTAGGGCTCTGGGCAAAATGTTTGTGGGGTGGGGAGGCAAGCATTCCTTTGTTGAATCTGGAGCCGTCTTGTGCCATCTTGGTCATAGGAGTGCATCTGGAGCAGCTCTGCTTTGCCTGCCCATGGGAAGGTCTTAACTGCCCTGGGGACTCACCCCTACTGCTCCTGCTGCATCCCTGCACACACATCCTGTGGCCAGACAGTCCAAGGCTGCTTCTGCTCCACTTCTAGGTCTGGGCCGCATAGGGTTGCACTGGCAGACCCTCTTCAACTACCCCCTCTCCCCTGCCCCTTATATTACTTACATGGATGGCCAAGGTCAGCAACATGGATTCAGGAGTACTCAGTGCTGGAATTTTTCAATGTAAGGTGTAAGCAAGCACACAGACTTTACAGAGCTATAAAATGTAGATAGGTTGTCTACATTGTTTAGTTTTAGGCAGCCAGTGATGTATCTACACGATTCATTCACCACTGCATCCATTCTTTTTGTGTGTGTATGAACCATTCGTGTACTGGGTGCACACATTTTGCTGCTGAATAGCTAAGGGCCAAGATGGTTGACCTAAGTGTTGATGTATTTGCTGTCCATTTAAAGTTGGCCAGTTCCTTAATGATGTCATCATGAACTTACATGTGTGAATATTGTATGGCTCTCTAATAGCCATCACTAAAGAAGCATCACTTTGAGCTGAAGATTACATATTGTGTCATAAAATATATCCATAGAAATAGTTTTGTCTAGTCATGGAAATAAAGGGCTGATTAGTTTGGAGTTGGCTTTTAGATCTTAATATCTCAGCAATCCAAGCTGATCTCTACATAAGCTTTCTATGTGGTTAGTACCTGAGATGCATAGATACTAATTTGTATTTTTATAGACACAGGAAAATAACTTTGAAATATAACCTGGCATTTTTTTCTTGTCACGATACTCCAACACAGAAAGCAACCAGCTATAGCAAGGTTGGGCCAGAAGATGGATCTGTTACCAGCAAGAAAATAATTCATTCTCAGATATAGTCCAGGATAACTGTTCATGATGAGGATTTTGCCAGTGTTGAGTTAGAGCACATAGGGTGGGCAGTTTTTTGAAACAGGATCTACTTGCACATTCCATATACATTTTAATGTGTTTACTCAGTTACTAAGGTCTCTGGTATCCTTAAATGACAGCAATTTTTGTCACTGCTGTAAAGTTCCATTTTTCTGGTGGACGTGGATTCTTTTTGTATTTCTTTGTTAGGATATCATCTGCTCTTTCCACCTAGGGCATTATTTAGACCTCTCTCTAGTCACAATCTTCCCTGGGACAACTTTGTATCCTGCTTTGATGGTTTTTTTCCCTTTTTTTCAATGGAAGCATTTGATGCTATATTCCTTTGATGATAAAGGAAAAACAGATCTGAACATTTTCTGAAATATTCCTTATGTTTGCAGTATCTCCACTACCATCTTTTTCTGTCAAGCATTTTGCTTCTGTGGACTAGGATTCAGTCAGTGAAGTCATTTCCTATGAAATATCCTCCTTTATGTATAAAGGCTGCATCCATTCATGGCATGGTTTTGTTATTCTGGATACTTTTTAGTATTAATCTCCTGTGACCAAACATCAGGTTTTGAATTTGGTGGAAGGAAAAAAATAAAACCTGTCTTGATCATCTTCAAACAAAAAACAGTGTTAAGAACTTAAAGTGTGTTTAATGTATTGCAGCCCCATTCTCATTTACATTAAAAGCCCTTTAACTGTTTTCTGACCATATAAATGAACCTTGAACTATGTGCAAATCTGACTGTTTTTTTATTGAACATTTGTGCATCATAAAAAAAATGTAAATGAGACTCGAACCATACATCACTTCATTAAGCACATTCCCTGTCTTGAGCACCAGAATAAATCCCATCATTTAATACATCATATTTTGAAGGGAAATGTTTTTGGATACACACTTCTGAGGAAGAAATAAATCGTGTGTGCTGAAAAAGCTATCCCAAATTATCTCAAATATTTTTGATGTAATTCTAAACAAGTACTGTTCGTGGATGGAATACATGCAAGGTCTGAAAATCACTATCCAGTTGCTCTTAAAACTGCATAGGGTCTTCAAATGTTAGTTGAATTTCTAATACTGAATGTATGCTGTATCTTCTGAAATATCATTATGACATCAGAACAGAAATTTGTTTAAAGAAAGAAGTTGCCTTTCATTCAGGGGTTACTCATTCTTGTTTTCAAAAGAAATTTTTTGCAGCATTTTATGCAACATTTTACTGCAATATACATTTATTGCAGCATTTTACTTTGAAGAAGGAATTATTGAAAGGTCATCTTAAATACAGCCCCCCACTATATCAGGGAAAGCAGTGGCAGGGGGTGAGGGGCTAGACGTCCCAACCCTTGCCCCGCTGTCCACTCATGTCCGTGCCTGATCCCTACTACCTGTCTCCCCCATTCCATGAACCCCCTTACTGCTTACTTTCAGGCATGACTTACTATTGAGAGTATTGAATCCTTTGTCTTCCCCAGTAAACATGATTGGCAGCCCCAGTGCCTAGTGAGAATGCTATATGCCTTTTAACAACAATTTGCCCCAGGGCATTTAGACCTTAAAAAAAAAATTTAAAACAGGAAAAGCAAAAATATGTGTTCAAATGAACAAGGAAGTAAAATTATGGTAGACATGAATTCAGTAGCAGAAGGAGAAAGGAAGGAGGTGTATTTTGTTCCCAAATAAATCTATTTCTTCCTTCAGGAAACTCAACCATCTGTCAAACAACCCTCTCTTATTTTAAAACTGCAAACACAAGACCTTGATGTATTCACTTTTATCACAAATATCATTCTCTTCCATTCAAACCTTTGTGGATTACCATGTTTGCAACAGTTCAGATTGAAATGCATTAAATTTCTATTGTATTTCATAGTAACAGTTTCACCTGAGATGCTTGAATTGAGGGCCAGGAGGTAAAATGTTAATTTTTTATCAGTAATTCATGCTAGAACTTAGTATATTTTTTTCACAATTGTCCTAATGACAAAATAAGTGGATTTGGAGTTAAATTGACAGAGTAAAACAAATCTACAGCCATATGGAAAAGCCTGAGTTTACTTGTCTTATCTCTGATAGAGAAAATGTTTTTCTTCTAGATGAAGACAGACTTTCCAGAAGGAAGAGTATTGTGGACACTGTGTCTATTCAGGTGGATATTCTGCCTGGCAGCAACTCAGAGGATAAGGTATGAAAAACAGAAGTTATTTTAAGGGAGGTCTTTTTTTCATGAGATGACAACCTATAGAATGAAACTTTTCTAGTTTATCTAAAGAGAGTGTTTTCAATTTTGTTTTCATGGCTTTCTTACCAAGCAGTAGAGATCTGTTATCTAATTGATTGAAATTGCTGCTTGCACTGCAATATATTACCTGTTTTGTATGATAATATTAGATATTATTGGTTCATAGCCGTTTTTAGACATTTAGCTTTCTACCAGTGTGATTTATTGGGGAAATATGACATACATGTTTGTCTTCTGCATAATAGATTATGAAATACTGCACTCTTACTGAATAAAATATAGGTAACGTCAAACATTTTAGCTCATTGTTACTGACCTGGTGTTAAGGACAGCCCTTAAGAAGCATAACTCAATTAATGAGTCTTACACTGTCCTTTGTTTTCTGGAAAGTAAGTAGAAGAATTTATGCTAATTACCTTGTAGGTAATCTGCATTATGACTAATTATTTGGGCAAACCTTTTGCACCTTAACTGAAAGGTTAATATTAATAACTAACATTTCCCTTTACAGTTGCTAATAGAAGCTTATTCTCCAAAAGGTACATCACAGCGTAAGATGTTCTGGTTAGCTCTGCCTTTTGGCAGTCCCACATTACGTTCTCATATTCAAGTTAGGAGGAATATGGTATAGATAGTGTCATGGAATCAACATCCCTTTTGCAGAAGGGCAGGAGCCCCTCCTCAGGAGCCCCAAGAAGCAGCCTTATTTGGTCTCGCTCTCCTGAGAGGACCCCCTGCAGTCAGCCCTAGCATGGCTTCACAAGGGGCAGGCCTCTGGGTTTGAGATGCTGGCTTTTCTCAGTCTTTGGCTTCTCCAATGACCCACAGCAGCCCCACCTCCGAGAGCTCCTTCTGGTCATCTTCTGGGAAGAAGGGGCCATGTTTTCTCCTTTAAAGAGGAGGAGGTCAGGCTGCCAGTGTCCCCAACAGCACTGCAGGCTTTGCTTCAAAACAGTCTTTATTGTGTCATTCTGGTTCCTTCTGTCCACCCTGCAGCCTTCTCTCCCTCCAGCTCTCGAAGCTTCAGTCTCTGTCCTCAGGCTCAGCCAACCACACTTGCAGCTGAGCTATTACAAAACTATAGCGTTCAACAAGGGACAGCATTCACCCAGGACAATGAAATATTATGCCATGGGAAACCAATCAGGAAGCAGTTTATGGGCCCTGGTGCCAGGCCCAGGCTGTAATCTCCCTGTGGAGTGAAAAGGACATATAGTTGTCCTGCCTATGGAACTATTTACAAGAATTATTTATAGCAAAACTGCTCCCAGAGTAGTCCCCACAAGAGCTGCCAGCTAGGACTCAGCCACGTAGCCATTTTTGATACAAACGAATGACTCTAAGGTGGATGCACATTGGGTTTAAAAAACATACCCAGTCATTGGTTGTTGGCTGTTAAACAAGGAGGGGCTGGAAAGACAAGATCAGATGTTATCAGTAAGTCCAAATTGATGATTCTCTACCAAAAATCACAAGGTATTCAACCAAAAGGATTTTCTATTCCATATTTATTCATTATACTTTCTCCAGAAATGAGAATATAATACAAATCCAGTGACAACTACTAGACCTTCTAACTGTTTTTTATTTGTGTCTTCCTTTTTTCAGCATGCCTCATTTTTTTTTTTTTAGCTCAGGTCTAACTCTTTTGTTTCATTCAGATTTTAGTTGGCTTCCTCCTCCACATAGCTGGGATACTAACATGAGGCACATGTTAAGATTATAGGGAAAGTCTCCATTCTCCTTACCAGTCCCCGGTGCCACAGCAGAATGCTGCATGCAGGTAGCATTGAGAGAGCATTGCTGCCAGTAGGTCTGTACTGAATAATTGCACGCAGTATGTCTCAGAGCCTCATAATGGCTTTTTTTCCACACTAGCAACTAAAAAAAATTAATCCCTTACACAAAGGCAATCTCTGCCAAATGTCAAGCTCCTTTTCCAAAGTATGTAGACACTCAAATTCCTCAGCAAAATAATTCAAAGAAATTTAACATGGGGAAAAATTTACTTCCCCTAATCTGATTTTCTTGATTTTTGTTAAGTTATTTTGCTGACTGTCTCCCTAGAAAAGGCTGAAAGTGAGCCTCAGGCAGATGTCTGTTTTAAGAAATTTTATCTCAGCAGTGAGTTTGTCAGACTAGGTAACTGAAGACAGTGACACCTGTACTTTGTTGTCCCACACTGCTGCTGTAAGACCCTATCAGCTCTGCCTAAGATAAAATAAAAGTGGTGGATCACTGAATTATTGTTCTGAGCAGAACACAAGAGTAATCAAACAGCAAATGTATTATGATGGTAAACAAGTATAAGGTTACTTGTTATATATATGATAGTAATCTCTATTTCTAAGAAATAAAAAAAATCAAAGTCAAACACAAGTTAATGAGAAAAAGTGCTGTGACATTTAAGGGGTGTACTTGGTACTGTGACATTTAATGCATTTATTAGTTGCCATGTTACTACAGGAGCATATGCAATTCAAATTAATTAAAAAAAGCATTTATTTTCTGCAGGTCAATAACACCGAAGAAATCACCTTTGAAGCTTTGAAGAAAGCCATTGGTGAGATTTACTGCAAGTCTTTGTTTACATAGCTTACTCCTGTCCAATCAATGCAAGAGGCAAGGATTTGGGGTTTTTGGTGAGGCAGAGAAAGGTAGAGAAGCTTTTGAATGTAAGGCATGTTCAATAAATGAAATACTTGCCAGAAACAAATTTCCAACACCATAGCATACTTAAAATATTATCTGGTTTTCCTGTCACAAAATGCATTGATTTGCCACTACATGTACTTGTTTCCAGCCCCTTTCAGCGATCTATATTAAGCATTTCTCTGAGAATTATGTTTGCAGATTTCCTTAGGAGTAGTGAAACATACTGAAAAAACAATTGCAAATAAATCTTGTTTTGACCTGTATCTAGATCTTGGCTCTTACAAATTAAGGCCTGAAAAACACTTCAGAGATTCATGACTTTTTTTTTTCCCTTTGCAAATTTCAATGAAGCAAACATTTACAGTGTAAATTAGTTTTGAATAGTGGCGGCTATATTAACATCCCTCAGAGGTCTTCTCTTGTAAATCTTGCATCGTGAGTTTTAAAGGGATTCTGTTTTAGTCTCCAACGTTTACATGTGATAACTTTGTAACTTTATAACTAAAAATGGATTTTTCCAACTGCCTACCCACCATACTAGACCTAGGAACTGTGACATGTTCATCCAAATCCTTTCTGTATTATATTTCACTATTAATCAGGGTTCTGCAAGTCAGATGCCCCTGCTTGCACTCTGGAAGGTAACTGTGGGGGACATGCTTTCAAAAAAAATATTGTTAGTGAGATTGTAATGTTATCTGCAAACCTCGTTATTCTCATTATTATGAATGGAAATAAGCTCCTCTTGACCTTTTGATCCAAGCTAAGTTTCTTGAACTTGTTAAAAATTTAACTGCAGTACATGTAGCGTTGATGAGCTTACTGGCACTCAAAATTTTAATCTCTGCCAGTAACGTGTTTGCAAGGTGTAAGTGCCCAGGTCCTGTCTTCTAGCACCAGTGCAGTTGCAGCATTGGCAACTGTTGCAATTCTGATAGCTGTTTAGGAGATAACAAACACAGAATTGCTCTCTGATTGATAAAACAAGTTCAAAACACCCACATTGGCAAACTCCTCCAATTGGTAACTGTCCTCCAATCTTTTGCAATTCACAGATGTTGAAACCTTGCAACGCTAACTACACCTTGAACTTCTGAGTTCAGTTTCACTGTATCTCCATATAGATAAACATGGGCTTCTTAATGGCTGATGTTTCAACTGCAAACTGTCCACTAAAAATTGCTACAAGTACAAAATGATGCTTACATTTTGGAAAACTTTTTCATCCAAAGAAGATTCTCTGCCTGTTCAGAGGACTGTAAACCTTAGTCCCCTGATCCCAAAGCAGTGGTCAGTATATGTACATCGAGCCTCATTTTTAAGCATGTTGAGTTGTGGGGGGAGGGAGACAAGTGGTACAAAAACATAGTACCTTTTAAACGTATTGTATTTAAGTGTAAGGGGCCAGCAAGTAGTGATGGATGCTTATCAGTTACATAGGTAGAATATTACATACATTGGTCATTGAAACACAAAAGACCATGCATCACTCAAGTGGTGGTGACCTAAAGCTAAAATATATCACGCAACCCATATTTAGTTCAAACTCATGTTGGCTGAGTGGGGATTGCAAGGTATGGTCCTATGTTCAATTGTGCATGCTGGTGTTTTTTTTCTGGCATGTGTTGTTATTACAGGGAATGTATATGATGCGGCTAGTACTTGCTCATTTAGGCTGTCTAAATACTGTTCCTTTGAGGAGGGATTCTCTGCTTGCATCACTATTTTTAGGTAACAGTAAAGGCCAACCTCTTAATGTTTGTGTCACTTACAAGTGGGCTGTTACATGAATTGGAGCTCTTAAACTTTTTTTTAAGATAATACTGGACTTGAGGAGCAAGAGAAGGAAAAGAGACGCCTTGTGATCGAAAAGTTCCAGAAAGCACCTTTTGAAGAAATTGCAGCACAATGTGAAACCAAAGTGAGTTCTTTGAATAATAATGCAAAAGCATTTGCACAAGGGCCGATGCCAATGGGTGGGAATGGAGCTTGCATTTGGTAATAGAAAAGCAGTTGTTTCCTTTTTCTCTGTACCTGTTATACAAATGTTACCAGTGTAGAATATCAAAATTACTTTGAGTGTAAGTAGGTTGAGTCCCCTTTTTGTTTGAGGAATACAAACTTTGTGATCTGCACCCTACTTTTACTTTTATAGCCTTTGAAAGCTGGCTTTACAGCCAAGTTAGTTTGACTTTGACTATTGTTCAGCATCTTCATTAATGATGTGGACATTGGAGTCAGGAGCGGACTGGCCAAGTTCACTGATGACACCAAACTTTGGGGCAAATAACCCACACCAGAAGACAGGTGGGTGATCCAGGCTGACCTGGACAGGCTCAGCAAATGGGCAGACGAGAGCCTGATGGTGTTTAACACCGAAAAATGCAAGGTTCTCCACCTCGGGAAGAAAAACCTGCAGCATCCTTGTAGGCTCGGCAGTGCTACGCTGGCTAGCACTACGGAAGAAAGAGACTTGGGGTCATCATTGACCACAAGATGAACAGGAGCCTGCAGTGTGATGCTGCAGCTAGTAAAGCAACCAAAACGCTGGCTTGTATCCATAGATGCTTCTCAAGCCAATCCCACGATGTCATTCTCCCCTTGTACTCGGCCTTGGTGAGGCCACAACTGGAGTACTGCATCCAGTTTTGGGCTCCACAATTCAAAAAGGATGTGGAGAAGTTTGAGAGAGTCCAGAGAAGAGCCCATGATCAGAGGTCAGGAAAGCAGACCTTATGACAACAGGCTGAGAGCCATGGGGCTCTTTAGCCTGGAAAAGCGCAGGCTCAGGGGTGATCTGATGGCCACCTATAAGTTTATCAGGGTGACCATCAGTATCTGGGGGAACGTTTGTTCACCAGAGCGCCCCAAGGGATGACGAGGTCAAATGGTTATAAACTACTGCAAGACAGTTTCAGGCTGGACATAAGGAAGAATTTCTTTACTGTCCAAGCCCCCAAGGTCTGGAACAGCCTGCCATCGGAGGTGGTTCAAGTACCTACATTGAACACCTTCAAGAGTAAATTGGATGCTTATCTTGCTAGGATCCTATGACCCCAGTTGACTTCCTGCCCTTCGGGCAGGGGGCTGGACTCTGATCTTCCAAGGTCCCTTCCAGCCCTAATGTCTATGAATCTATGACTGTGGAAGCACGTGAAAAAGTGTCTTTGCATTCATGCCCACATAGGCCTAACTGACTGGAAGAATTTTTGCCAGTTCATAACTGAAGTCATTTAAAAATCTGGTTCAATTTTGCTATTCCCAGATTCTGTTGTACAAATCGGTGTAACCTACAGCCTCGTGTATGTCTTTTATAATACCCTTCACAAAACTAGAGTCCTTAATGCAGCAGGAAAACAAAGCTGAAATAGTGGATACTGCCCATATTTACCACCTGGCCATGTGAAATGCACTTACTAAACTGTTCTGGCTTATTTCTATAAGCTGCTTTTCATCTGCAGTAGTTTTTTTCAGGGTGTCATTAAAATCCTTATATTTTCTCTCTAGGCGAACTTGCTTCATGACAGACTTGCGCAGATACTGGAGCTCACCATTCGGTAAGGTTTTATACACAAAACGGTTGGCAGTAATGAAAAACGCAAGTTGTTATTGGGGAATTCTGTGCTAGCTTAAAGTGTTTACCATGTTCCTAGACACCACAGCTTTAGTAAATAGAAGACAGTTGCCTTCAGTTAGTCTCTCCTTAACTCAAAAGGAAAACGTTTGATTTTATTGCTATTTGCAATTTCTTTAGTTAGAGGAAAAATATCCATTGCCAAGTTCATCCTATAATCGCATCAGATACTGCTTATTTTTAAAATTGCTGTGTTGTAATCAAAGCAGATAATTTAAGGGGAAAATTTGATTTATCTTTTAAATTGTTCTAAAGTGTCCACTGAGGCCTCAATTGAGCCCATTAATCTGAGCAACTTTCTCTGAAGTTTATTCGCATAACTGAGGGTGCAGCTGGTCTCTGCTTAGATTTCAAAAATATTTTGGATGTGGAAGCATATTTGAGCAACATGGCACTAGAAATTTGTGTGGGTGTATCATATGTATTAGTCAGATTTGCAAAAATAATCTTGCTGCTACAAGGAAGGAAATATTACCTTCCCTTACTGTTGCTTCTCTAAGAATTGGTTAGCAATCTGTCCTTGTTTATTGCAACATGTCACGTACATCTGTTGTTCTACATAGATAATACTATTTATTAATAATAACAAACCATATTTCCATAGCTACATTGACATCAATGAAGCTGATGATTCAGACAGACATAAACAAAAATGAGCCGTTATAATTTGGCGTTCTTAGGAACTCAAGAAAAGGATAGTATAGAGACAAGGGGGAAGGGGAAATTACTTTCAAGTTTCCTGGCAGGTGATATATGGACCTCAAATAACAGCAGATTGTATATATATGTCATTTTGAGAAGTTAAGACATATATTTGGTTTATCATTCTTCTTTTACAGTCCTCCACCTAGCCCTTCAGGAACGTTGACTGTTACCGCTGGACATGCTCATTACCAATCCGTTCCAGTCTATGAGATGAAGTTTCCAGATCTTTGTGTGTATTAAGTGTCTTCTGAAGTCTGCTGGACATTATTTAGAGTAGAGTACAATAGAAAGACCAAGAAGAGTTGTCAAGTTTTTGTTGTTTGTTTTGTCAAATGAACATAGTTTTTAGAAGAAACAGTGGACTTAAAACAAATAGGGATGTTTTTTAGCCAGCCTTCAAAATTATTCTGCACCGTTTATTCTTCAATAAAATTTAAAACTAGGTTAATTATGTTCACCTTATCAATTATTCTTTTATAAATTATTCACATTTCAGTAGGTTTAAAACTCAAAAGAGAGAACCTTTTTGCCAAAGGCTCAAACAAAATATTACAAAAGTTCCTAAAAGTAGGTGCTGTATTTACAATTCATGGTTGCAGCCCTTTTCACTCCCCTTCTCCCCCAACTCACCCACACAGACCTACACCCCTGGTTTACCCAGGGTAGATGCTTTAGGCTCACTTAATCACTTAATGGAACAGTAATTTTGCTTCTTTATGAAAATGTTTTGTAGAACAGGGGTCGGCAACATTTTTGGCCAGAGTACCAAAATCATCCCAAGCTTTACCCATGCCTCAACTTAGCGTGCCAGAGATGGGGAAGCCACAAGGGGTCTGATCCTCATTGCTGGCAGGGGTTGCACATATGCGTCCAGGTGGACAGCGGGGTGCCCTAGCCCCTTCTGCGCCATGTGCTGCAAGCTGTGCTTGCACCCGCTACCTCCACGGAGCTGGTGCCTGGGCTCCAGAGCCCAGCACAGCTGTCTGCAGCCTCCCTGCTGCCTGGCACAGCTGGCCTGGGTTCTGGGCATCTGTAGCAGGCAGCCAGGAGGCTGCAAACAGCTGTGCCAGGCTCCGCAGCCCCAGCACCAGCTCCACAGCAGCTGCGCATGTGCCTCCAGGCAGATGGCGGGGAAGGAGCCAGGATTGCACTGCCCCAGCCCCTTCCCCTCCATGCGCTGTGAGCTGCACATGCACCCACTACTGCCACAGAGCCAGTGCTGGGGCTCTGTAGCCCAGCGCTGCTGTTTGCACCCTCCCAGCTGCCTTCTACAGCCAACCTGGGCTCCAGGCATCTATAGCAGGTGGCTGGAAGATGGCAGACAGCTGTGCCAGGCTCCACAGCCCTGGCATCAGCTCCATGGTAGCGGCAGCTGCACACATGCCTCTGAGCAGATGGTGGGAGAAGCCAGATTTGTGATGCCCAAGGCTCCTTCCCACCATGCAGCCAGAGGTGCATGCACAGCTGCCTCAGCCACATGCAGTTGTTCATAGCCTTCCAGCTGCAGCCAGCCCAGGCTCTGGACGGCAGCTGGCAGAAGCTGCCCAGAGTCTGGGTTGGCTGTGGCATGCTGAGGAAAATGGCCTCGTGTGCCATGCTCTGGCATGAGTGCCAGGCCAATCCCTGTTGTAGAAGCTACTTGCTAGTATGGAATATATTAAAGAAACAACCTATCATCAGTTCAATTGCAGTAAAAATGAGCAACTGAACACTTGTTAAAAGTTTGTAATAAATGATTAATATACTGGATTTCTAAAAAGCTCATTATGTGTGCTGTTTTTTGCTGAAAACTATAATGTTCTGCTTAAGAGATGGAAAGTCTTCTCTTGGCACATTGAAATGTGCAATATTTTTTGATGTTTATGGGTGTATAGTTTACAAAACTATGCTTTTGAAAAGGCAGTAGTATTTTGCTGTGTCTGTTTTAGATAAATGAGAGGTATATATTTAGTATAGCAATAAACTGAGGGCATTTTAAAACATAAACACAGAATTAGAGATTATATTATATGAAATGTTTCTGTAGTTTGGTAATATAGGTTTTTAATGATATTTTGCAAATTGAAAGAAAACTGTGGATGAAACATCTGAAAGTTTAGAATTTATTAGATGTGTTTTCAAGCAAAAGCATTTTACAGATGCGCTGTTTGCATATATTTTTCTTGTGACTGACAAGTCTTCCTGTAGATATGGAAAATAGATGTGCGAATGTTCATAGGTTTATGTATCTGAATGTAAGTTTCAAATACAAATAGAAAATAAAATAAAATCATCCTCTAGTGAGTTGTACAGGATTTGAAGGTTATTGGCAGTGTCATTGGGTCCTGTTGAGAAATTTTGACCCATTGAGAAATTTTGAGTAGCCCAATGCCACGTGCAGGTAGGCTTCACAGTCCAGTGTAGCTGGATTTTCTGGAAGTAGCAGACACTCTAATAAACATATGTTCTCGATACTTCAGTTATATGGCTTTCAATTTTTAAGAAGTTTGAACAAGTTTAGACCGAGATGAATAGTGCTTTAGTATCAACTTTGTTTTAGCATAGAGAGGCAAGCCAATCTGTTAATTGTCCTTGGCATTTCTCAATTTTGCACGTTTGCACTCCTGCTGCATAATGTAGGACTTCTTAATTTTTTTTAGACTGAAGTACAAAGCTCCTTTTAAAGATCTTTAAAGGCATGAAATAGCATATATTTTTAGAAAGATTTCAGCTACTTAAACCTATGAGATGACACTTTCAGGAATCATTCACAAAACTCAAAAAGGTAATTGAGACCTTCTTTTCAGTTTGACAGTGCAATCACAGCTGTTAGTGGATGACGAAACAGCCCCTTACCTACAGCATTCCGTTGTGATTGTTACTGCTGCAACGTATCAGCCTGATCTGACCAGACTCATCACATTAATAGAACTCGTTGTCACCCTAGTTTTTTAGTTGTCACTTTTTGTTTTTTTAAGGTAAGCCATGCTAGTTTTTTGACCTATATAAAGAGTGTAAATCAAACCGGGGGACACAATGTAAGACACTGTCCATTGATGTCATTTTATAAAGTAACACTGTGTGCTTTTGTACAAAAAAAAAAGAAATAGAATTAAGGAGTTTAAAGAATAAGAAACAAAGAATGTACTTTCATTTGCACTGTTGCAGTAAGCAGACTCTGCTGTAAATACAGACTTTCTTCTGGTTAACTGAATTTTGTTGCATGTATACTGCATGTGAACAATTCTATTCAGCATTTCACGTACAACTCATTGGAAGTCTGTTTATGAAGTAATTTTCATTTATTAACGTGGTAGGCTTCCACGTGTTATAAACTCAGACAAGCCATGCCTAGGATGTGCAGATAGGAAGAAATAAAAGGTCTATAATCTTCAGAGTGTTGGCATGGCATTTCATTTCCTCCTAGCTGGAAACATAGAGTCTGGAGATGTATTCTGGCCATTTTGGACAGACAAAGAATTTGGGATTTATGGGGGTCCATTGTGTAATATAGTATACCCAACAGTTTATCATAGTAAATCATAGGTAATAAAACCAAATACATTTAAAACTGTTCTAATGTATACAGTTGCTTTGCATCAGTTATTTCTTTCTGTTCCTGAAAAGTTGAACAGCTTAGAATCCAAAGTGTGCACAATGGGCCTATCGTATCTGTGATGGTTTCAATACTGTTTGGATGTTTATGGTATCCAGCTGATGTTTGTATGTGTTGCAGCTTTTGCTTTAAACTCTTCTAAATGTACTGTCACTTTAAGTAATTATGAATTTTGGTAGCAATTCACTTAAAGTAAATGAAATCTGTGTTACTTTTGGAAGCAACAATTAGCCTGTTGTCCAAAGTCAGAGTAGGGCAGCTTTTTCTGTTGTACTGATGTTCCTCTATTTTCTGTACTGTCTGTAATGAACCAGTTTCATGAAATGTTACAATACACTGTGCAATCAACATTTAAGCAATAAATAAACCAAAAAGTTAAAATAACCGAGTTGGTTACAAATTAATGTCTCTAAGTGTACAGTGTTCAAAGTGAAAAAACCAATATTGTCCTTTATTAGGTAGGTTCCTGTTTTCATAAGAAGTGAAATAAAATTTCACTTCATCCAAAAACCATTCCTTTTTAAACCTAAAGCATTTCACTGCATTATAACGTTGTGACTGTTGGAAAAGCCAAACAAATATGGCAAAGCAGCAAGATTTAATTAATTCCAAACAGTATATTAACACTACAAGAAGAAAGTGATACTGAGATGATGCTCTATCCATGGTTTAAGGCATCCAAATGATAACTTTTCATTATAGTCTTTCTTTTATTTTTTTAAGAATAAAGTTTTAGCCTAGGCCCAGAGCACCGCACACGGATCTGTTAGCACTGCAGTTATCAGCATGATGTGATAATTGCGTCAAGGTACTGTTCGATTCCTGTCCAAACAGCTATTCTAGCTGGACTACTAAGGAGCTATTTCAGCATCACACTGCTTCTAGCACTCACCTACCTAACGTTCTTAAAATGTTTTATTTTTTCTTTTAAGGCCCCTGGCACGTTACATTTACTGTGCACTTAAATGGGTAATTGCACAATAAATTTTAACATGCTACACCTGCAAAGTAATTATTGCAGATAAAAATAGCCAACTAGATACAAAAATGTTGAACGGTGTTGTAGCTAGCTTCTTTCAAGCTTTTTAATTTGAATGTCTTGTCACCCGCAATGTCACAGGTTTTGCTGGGTCCTCCAGCATCCTACTGTGCATGCTCACTCTCCCACTTTACGAGCCACCTATCTGCCAATGCTGACAACCAGCTTGTCAGTGTTGGCATGACAGGGGTTGGCACTGGGACTGGGACAGCATGGGTCCAGATGCTGAAAAATCATAGAAATGAAGGGCTGGAAGGGAGCTCGAAAGATCGAGTCCAACCCCCCTGTTTTGGGCAGGAATACTGCTGAGATCAAATGATCCCAGCAAGGTGCCTGTCCAGTCTCCTCTTGAAGACTTCCAAGGTTGGGGACTACACCACCGCCTTGGGAAGTCTGTTCCAGATTCTGGTCACCCTTACCATAAAGATTTCCTTACATCCAACCTGAAACCATCCTCTAACACTTTATAACCATTGTTCCTTGTCCTCCCCTGGAGCACCCTAGTGAACAGTTTTTCCCCCAGCTCCCAATATTCGCCCCTTACATACGTATAGATAGGCTGCAAGGGGTGAAGGTTTCAAGTTTCCCTGGTGAGAGGAGTCAAGGGGCTCCCCCTGCAGGAACCTTGACAAACCCTAAGCCTACAAGCACTGTAAAGCCAGGCACTTCAAAATATCAGGTTGCAGGGAGCCAGGCTGAATGCAGCTTTTAGATGCACCAGAGCAAGGGATGTCTAAAAACCGTACATGTAGCTGGGTTATTCCAAGGCCAGCTGACAATCAGCTTGACTCCCAACAGCCTAGGGTCTTAAACCAGAAAGCCCTGCATCGGGAGCCTCCTGGGGGTTGGGAACAGCCCTGGGTTCTGGACAGAGTCGCACGCTACCTGATGTATAGGACTGGCCTGGGAGCAGGTCTTATGCTCCATTCCAAATATCACATCTCTTGCCATTAATGTATGGCATGACAAGAGGCTGATGCTTGACAGGAGGCATAAAATTCCTGTGATCCAAATCCTGCCATAGGTTTAACATCTGCCAGGGCTCCTAGGAGTGCTTCCTGACAGATTGTGAATAGTGAATGACTGTGAGTCTCTTTTAAGCACCTTCCTTTTCCTTCTGACAACCTCGGTTTTGTTTTCACAATTCCAAAATCCTCTATCTCAATTTAATGGCTGTTTAGTATCGCAAAGGCTTTGTCACTTCAGATGGCTGAAATATTTAGCCTTGAGGTTTTAACATGTGAGAACTGAAATAATACAGGGCAAAAAGCCATGCTTAGAGGATGTCTAGGTAGTACTACAATGTCACTTCGAACAATGAGTGACATTCTGAGCCATATCAAGCTCAGCTGACTGGCAGGACAGTGTGGTTATCAGGATGTTGAGCAAGTACAGAGCAGCCAGAGCAAACCCGGCTGTGCAAGAGCAACTTCACTGTTGGAGGTGTAATCTAGATACTATCCAGGAGCATGCAACCATGGCTCCCTTGCAGTACTGCTAGCATAGAGCAGTCCCATGTTTTTGGAGCACTGCACTTAAGGGGAAAAAATCCAGGCCTACCCAGTTGTGTGAACCAAAGTAACCAGTATTCTTGAAATAGCGTTCGTGTGATGTAGCTGTGATGGTCCAGGACTTATATGATGCATTTGAAAATGTATCTAACTTTATCACAATTATACAGTTGGTCCAATACAAAATACCACCCATAGAAGTCCTTGCCCCTTGCAATCTCCTTAAAATAATAACTGTGCTTTTATTTAAAGTTTGAGCTTCCCCAAGATCTCGGAGACTGTTAATGGAACTCTGTTAATGATTTTCTGTCTCTTCTCAGGCCTCAAGCAATTGCAACTGCCGAAAAGGTTATGGCAACAAAAATCAAATATCAGACTAATCTAGCAGAGGCAGTAAACGGTTTAGATTCACCAGTTAACTGATGCTTAACACCCTGCTGTGCTCATAACCAGCGCATCTATACGAGACGCTACTGCTCAGTGGTTACAGTGCATTTATTTAGTACTTGTATAATCCACTACTAAATAAATGTGCAGTTACTGTGGAGTAGTGACACTGCTGTGCAGTTGTCTAATAATACTGTGCAGTAGCGTATTGGCATTGTGGGTGCTGTGACACAATTAGCATCTTGTGTAGACGTGCCCGCAGAGTGTTTATAGCCAACTGTGTCCTTGACCAATTCTAAGTTTAGTATGGATGGGAGCCTGAGTAAAAATGCTCATCAAAGGTTAGAGTATTGTCTGGACATTACATAAATGACAGCACAGTTATGTTGTTTATCTAATATGGTAGATAAGGATCATTTCAATAAAGTATCTATGAAGCCAAATAAATCCCATAGAGATTTTACTGGCATATAACTGTATCCTTGAGGGGAATACACTGTTACAATTCAGAGAACCCTTCATCTAATATTAAATCCCAACAGTTGCCAGAAAGGACTCTTTGAAACATCAGCTTTAACTGATGGTTTCAGAGCATCTACATCAATATATATCTGAGGAAAATAGCTGGTGCTCTTATCAGGCAATGGTGTAACCATCATATTTCATTTCATTTAAAGGCCAGTTTTGCCTGTTTCAGCTCCTTAGCGACCTGACCTTTTCTTATTTATTTATCAGAGACATGCAGCAGCAAATAAATTGCTAGCATTACAGCAGGATGTTGTCACCAGAACTTTAAATCCAATTCTGAAATTCAGATGAGTGTCAATTTAGTGCAGTTGCATAATTACTGGGTAGGGCAAGCGGGGCGTGACTTCTGGGTGCTGAATACGATGAGCTGCTGGAGAACTATGGTGGGGGTGCCAGAACAGATGCAAATGTGTGTCCAGCTTCTGTGTCCAGGACCCAGGGGATGATGGCAGGGGAGCTTATAGCTGTGTGGAATTGGAGTTAGGGGCAGAGAGTGTTCCCCCATTCTGCTAAATTAAGGGTTTTTTTATATCTTTGCACAATGTTGCACTTGGCCACACTGCGGGAGGGCGGGAGCAGCAAGTGAAAGGCTAGGGGACACTTCCATAGCTGGTGGGACACTAGATTTCCCAATCCTCCCCACCCCTCAACTACATCCCCCACTGCTGCACAGCTGGAGCCGTCTCGCTTCCACCTTCTGGGTCTACTTGTCCAAGGCACGGACCCTACCAGGTATGACTCTGGCTTAATACAAATCTTATTGCAAACAAATAATTAGCTTAATCCTGCCATTTTGCAGGCTTGAATGCTTAAACAGCAACTTCTTTTGTCTAACAAGAAGTGTCCAGAGTATTTTGGAATTTCCTTTCAGATTTGACTGGATGCCAATTCTCAATCCATTTGGCCAACCCTCAGTTCTTCCACCCTTGTATATTCTTTATGCTGTTGAAAGTAGCTGTAAGTTTGGACCTTCCCACCACTTCTAGCCACAGATCTTGTATTTTGTTGACACTGGAGCTAAAGGCTCCCCTGTGCTGCCCAGGACTGGGAACCCCCATCCTGATCAGGGCTTCTAGCTGGGGGACTGCAAGGAGCCAAGCTTTTACTACCTCCTAGTGCAGGGGAACCCAGGCTCACAATCCCCAAATGGTGTGCCATCCCATGTGGCATGGCAGGAACCAAAATGAAGCCAAACAACTTTACAACCTGGAATAAAACAAATGACCCTTTTGTTACCAGAGCTTCTGATCTATTTGTTGGACTGCATACTTTCTTAAGCATCTGACGAAGTGAGCTGTGGTTTGTGATTATGCATCTCTGATTCAGTTAGCCTATAAGGTGCACCTCTAGTTTGTTTCCTACTTTCTTAAGGTTCAACACAGAGCAATGTTTTTTCAGCTAAGTTGGAGCCTTTAAAATAAGACTGTGAAAAGGGAAATGTGGCAACAACTCTGAAATGATTGGAATCACTAAAATAATAAGATGCAGCAGAAGTCAGTAACAAACAGTTTTTATTTTAAGAAATGTTAATGGAAACAGTTTGTTTTCAGAGAAGCCTAAAATAGGAGATGCTTGAAAATATTTTGACTTTGCTTATTATGTGAAAATAGTCTGAAAATGGTTTTATCTTCCTTGTCTTCCATTTCAAACTTCCTATTACAAAAGTAGCAGTAAAAGTATTGCTAGAAACTGCATAGAGCAATTTAGGAGAGTGCACTATGTTTGAGCACCAGCAGAAACCTACATGCTACAAGATGTACAATGTATAATAAAAGGATAGTTGTGATTTAATTTCAAGCTAAAAAGAACATACTGCATAGCTGCCTTCCCTTCTCTTTTGAGTTTGTGCCCACTAAGGAGCTCAAAAACCATAGACCAGAGTTTAGCTGCAATTGGGTAGAGTTACAGAGGTGTGGTATTTATGAAAGTCAAATGGGAAATTCTCTGCTTTTCATCAGAATCTGAAGCCGTGGACAGACGATTTATTTGTTAAGCCCTTTTCCCAGCACAAACAAAGTACAGGCATTCGGGCAGTTTGTGGTGGAAACAACCTGGTGCTTCAGCCGTGAACTATTAGCTTTTTAAGCAGCAACTTTGTTCTCTAGCTCGGCATATAACACCAGTCCAGTTTCATGTGAGGCAACTGGGGTTCTGCAGCCCTCCATGCTTCTTTCCCCACTCCGAGGAGAGCAGCGCTCCTTACTGCCATGGGGCATGGGGATTTCCTGTGCAGGTTCTGTTTTCAGCAGCTGCCAGCTGCTCATTGACAGACTGCCCCTTTCCTCCAAAAGGGAGAGGGCAGGCTCTCAATTACTGCCCACTCCTGAGGCAAGGGGAACAAAGGAACAGTCTTCTATTACCCCCAGGACAGAGAGCTTACCTCTGTGCAGCTTGTAGCTCTCCAGCCAGGGCGCTGGACTACTTGTATGGTCCCCATCTTACTGTGCTTTGCAGCGCTGCGAGGTACCTAGAAATTTGCAGTGCTGTAACTCAGCGGTTCTCAACCTTTTGCACCTTATGTCCCACCTACATAAGGTCAAAAAGTCCTGGTGCCACCAGTCAATGAGCCCGGGGGGCGGGGGGGTTGCCCATCCAATCAAAGTGCACAAAAGCAAAACTGGAAGTCCTGCAGTGGCACTTCCAGTTTCGCTACCACGACCCGAGTCCCACCTAGACAACATTCACATCCCACTGGTTGAGAAACCCTGCTGTAACTAACAGCCTGTCCGTAGCCAGAGTTTGATGGATGTTCATGGAACGTTACAGGCCTTCATAAGCATGGACAAAAACCCAGCTGACTCCTAGCCAAAAGTTTTCACTAGGTTTCTGCCAGCTAATAAACAGAACATGCATCAAAATCTGGGTTATTTGCTCTAATTTGGGTCTAATAAGTATATATGCAATATACATTGGAGTTAGAATTTGATATGTTTTCTCTAGGGGGCCTATATTGAAAAGATATCCGAAATTCCAGCTCTTCAATTATTTTTGTTTTCAGCAAGGATCATCACCCATGACGTAGAGTGAGGGGTCTGGCCTTAGGCAACTGGCAAAGCCCTTAACAAAAATCAACTGGGGCTTTATTTACTTGGAAGCTGAACCAAACTGTACTTGGTACTTTTAGACAGGGTCTGGCCTACTAGAGATGACCCTCAAGGCAGGCTTCTCTATACTAAGGAGTTCCATACTGTAGTGTGATATACTTGCAACCTAGTCTATCTTTCTATCAGTTGTCTGTAAGGAAATGAAAAGGAGAATTTTCGAAGACAAAATGGGTTACACAATATTTGACTCTCGAGCCCTTTATGCCATTCCACAACAAGGTGATCAAGCTTGGCTATCTCCCGTGCAGTGGTGCAGAGTAATCCTTTCCAAATGAAAAGCGGGCACCTCTCTTTACTCTTCTTAAAACACTCCTTGGACCTGCCTCCTCACTGCTCTCCTCAGAGCTGGATGCTCTAGTGCCTATTCCTGAGCCACTTGAAGGCCTTTCATGTGTTCCACTCCAACACAGGGCTTTCTCCCCTTGGCAGTCTTGCTGGCTTGGGACCTTCAAGCTGTCATTGAAAACGGCAGCAGCCATGCACTCAGCAGCTGTCTGATCACAGGAACACAGTAGCTTTTCACACATACTCCAGCCGATGCCTTAAAAAGACGAAAAATGTAAGATGTTAAAAGTTTGAAATTTGGACACTACTTCTTTTTGAAATGATGTTGTCACCTATGCCACAAGGCTGCGTAACATTTACAAGAAAAGCCTTCAATCCTGGGTGTCAAAGAGATGCTACGAAATCCATATCTTGACACCTATATGTAAACAGGTTTTGGGAGAGGCTGAGAGGCTGCAGCTCCCATTGATCACTGTGGGATCAAAAATTAACCTACTTATATTTGTGGCGTTCCACTATTGGTAGACACGCCTCTTTCAGTCCACTCTTGAGCTACATGGTTGTTTTATGTAAAACAGGCCTTGGCTTCACCAGGAACAATAAGCAAGTTATGGTCAGGTTTAGTCGCTTGCTTTTGTTAAGAACATTCTTAATGCGGTCACTTTTTTCCTTCTCAAGACGGACTCCAATGGCACGTAGACTCCAGATAGTATAACAACATCTTTTCGATCTAAGCTCTGTGAGGCTATTCTTGTTATAATTCTACACTGATCTCAATTTGGCTCAGGAGGAATGTCATAAATTTCATTATCTAACCCCACACTTACACTTTGGTTTATGATCGAAACACACAACTTCAGATCTCAAAATTCTCTCCGGATGGCATCCGAGTTTTCTAACTTGTTCCATGCAGCAGTGATGAGAGAAACAGCACCTGAAATAGAGAAGCCCACATCTAGCTCTCTCAAAATGTGCTTATGTGGCTGGAGTTAACTGCCTAAGTTGTATTTCTGGACCACTTGCATGGATTTTAGATCCTACTTCATCCTTAGATTGTGCATAACTCTTGACATCACAGAATGGAGGGGGAGTGCAAGCCAGAGGGAGTGTAACTCAGTGAAAGGCACTGGCCTGGAAGGATGGGCAGGCCCTGGGTTCTGTCTCCTGTCCCCAGTGGGACAGAAGTGTCCTTGTGGCTGTAGAATAAAGAGTGCCCCCCAGATTATCCAGGAGCCCTTGTCTTTCCTGACTACTGAAAAAATCACTGGGCCCTTCCCCTCCTGGCTCCCCAAATGGACCAGCTTCTACAGGAGGGGTGGGGGTGATTCTTGGCAGTGCCTGATCCATGGCCAGGTAGTTAGAGCATTTTGCTGGGAAGTGGGACATGAAGGTTATCCTTACTTACATCTTGGGGATGCTTTCTCACTACCTGGGCAAGTGCCCTAACCACTAGGCGGCTAGGCTAAAAGTGTAGGAAGCCCTTCCTCCTCCTCTGCTGTCAAGGTTTTGCAGCTAAGTTTCCAGGGACTTGCATGGAGTTAATGTGCCTTCCCAGGGCAGTAGCTATAGTGGATCCCTTCTCAGCATGCTCAGAGGAAAAAGGCAAGTTGCACATGGAGGAGTGGGAGCTAAACTAAGTGGTCCAAACAGCATGTGGGTGCTCCTCACCCATATAAAGGTGAGTTTGACTTGGCCCAAATGTTCAATTTTCTCTAATGCACTGTATCTCCCTGCATCGCAGTCTGCTTCCTTCTTTTTTTTTTTATCTTTTTGGTGCATTGATCCTGTGTTGGTCTTTAATGGATACACTTTTATTTTTAAACATGTTATTTAGATAGAAAAAAGCTCTCAGCTTCCTCTGACATCACTGCTCCTGCCTAATGCCTCCTGGTCCCCTGGCTTTTCCGCCTTAAATTAGTTGCAAGCCCCTAGAAGGACACTCCAATCTCTTTATGACTATAAGTATATAAATAATTCTCCTGAAACCTGAATGCATACTTAGTACAGCTAAGAATGTAACTGGAAACTACCAGCATCATAATGGTTAAATCTTTCAGCTACTTCCCTGCTGAACATGAGCCCACCCAGAGAAACAAGCTCTGCCTGGTTCGTGTGCACCCAATCTGTCAGGCAGCATATGCAGCTTATAGGGAACCTGAGTTCATTCCCTATGACAGAGCCTGGGTAAAGCACTAGTGGGCATACTCAGACTATGCTGTCTGCACTGCAAAACTGCTAGAGTTGGGTATTCCTGAAGCAGGAGTGAGTGGGAAAGGTTTGTTTCTTGACAGTCAGGGTTGCCAACCCAAGAATTGTTTGTAGGGGGTGGTTTTTGGGGGGTGGCGGGGGGGGTGGATTGCTGACAAACTGCAAGCTTTTTACTGACCATCAAACTTTTTTTACTGACATTTGTTTTTCACTATGCAAGAGTAACCCTTCTGCCAGGCACTAGACAGCAATAACAAGAGCCAGGTTCAAATTTAGGTGTTTAACAGTAGCTTTTAACAGTCTTACTTGACTGAACAATGGCTTTGAACTGGGCTTCCCCCATCTCAGGTCCCCTACTTACCCCACATCCTGATATTTCTGACCACACCTTGCACTGTGCTGCCCTCAACTGACCCCTGTTGGCTCTGCACCCTGGCACAAACCACCCAACTACCACTTCTCCAAACCCCACAGTTCCACCCAAGCCACACAGCCCACACTTCCCTTTCCCATCAACTATCTCTAACTGCCCAGGCCATATAGCCCTGCCTACCTGCGAGGTGAGTAACCATTACAGGAAAGCAGCTACCGAGATGCAGCAGCAGCAGCACGTGGCTTGGGGTGGATGGCGAGGGGGCTACAGAGGTTCCTGCAGGCCATAACAAAAGCCATTGCCAGAGAGGTCCCTGCAACACGCTAAGCTGTGCTCCCACTGAGACACAAGATGGCACTGCTCTGTTTCCTCTGTCCTTCAACACAAATTCTTAGTTTTCTAAAAACAGATCCATTTTTATGGTCTTTATAGACAAGCATGTTTAGCCTTTTTTCTTTGTGGACTCTCTGAAATTACGGACAGTTGGCAACTCTGTCACCAGTGGTCCCAGGCTTGGTAGAGAGCCATAATATTTGTGGCCAGAGTTATACATTAGGACCAGAAGAAACCTATACTTAGCTGGTCTTTGGTCCTGCCACAGCAGGTCAGGTCTTTTTGGTATAAGTTCTACTACTCAAACCTGAAAAGACCCTACACAATTAAGGCTTCCACCAGTGCCCTCCCACGAGACTCTTCCATACCCAATGGAACTCACCCTGTGGTAGCTTTCCCTTCTCCCGAATTTGCCTTAATTTAATTTCCTTGCTCCTAGAAGTAACCTCCAGTGCCAACAAGAACAATTTGTCTCCCTTGCAGAAGGAGAATCCTAACTGCATGGACTTCAGTGGGGCAGTGCTTCATCCCTGGTGATTATACTCTTCCAAAGGTGGGTACAATAGTTCTGTCTGCAAACTGCTTTCCAACCCAGCCATTTCTTGACTCTGCTTTTGCTCCACTGTATTCTTTCTTCTCTCCCTTTATTCCTCCCTTTTACTCCTCTCCTCTTCTCTACCATTTAGCAGCTTGCCTCCTAAATAAATCTCATCCTCCAAAAACCAGAACCCCTAATAGGACATTGACTACCATTACACTGATGACTGCTTATATGTCCCACTGCCTTCCTCTATGTTTTGTCTTTCTTCTGTGTTTAGAGCATAAGTTCTTGAGGGCTCGGGCTCTCTCTACTCAGCCTTGGATGGTCCCCTGGAACTGCTATAGTAAACACAGATACTTAGCAGGTGTCAAGGAGCCAGCACCTGTCCAGTACATCTGCAGGAGAACCTCTTCCTTCCTGGCCACAGTAGCAGCCATAAGATTCAAATTCCTGTGGACATCTGTCAGTCAAACAATACAGCATTTCTCCTAGCTGGGGCAGCTCCTGCTTCACTTTCCCATTCCCTCTTATTTGCAGAAAGGTAAATCGGTCGCAGACTGTAAAGAAAAATGCATTGTTGAACAGGTAACATTTAAGAACTTCCACATTCATCAGGGTAAGCACCACCTCTTCGGCTGTGGTTGGAAAGTACGGAGCGTTTGGGAGGCATCACAGAATAAATGCAAATGATTTTCCTTGCTAGGTTTAGTCTTGTATAATCCACATGTCCGCTCTAAGGCTTCATGAATATGTCAGTGAGTCTAAATTTACCGGAACATGTCTCCATAGGGATCTAAATTTACTGACCCTTCCTCACCATAATCATCGCAGTTTTCCCACTGTTTCTAAGTGGCGTTGATGAGCTATTCTTAAGTTGATCAAGATTCTTTTGCTTTTGTCTTATGCTCCCTTCTCATCTGTTTTATACACCTGTTCTCTTTTTGTCTGTATAGAATATAAATCCTTAGGCATTTCTTTATTACACCTACTCCAACACATTGACCAGGACCTGCAGGCATGACTAGAACAGAAGTTACCTTGTGGAGCTAACATGCTGCTGAATCAAGACTAGTTAGTACTACTTAGCCTTAAGGAACTAGATCCCATTTTTGGATGACTTGAGAAATCCTATTCCTGCAGTGACTTCAACTGGATTTTATTTTCCTTCATTTCCATTCTTTAATTTGTGAGATTCTGCAAGACTCTTTTCATCCTGGAACCAATCTTGTGACTATCAAGCTAGCTAAAATGCCCCCTGTAACATCTTTTGCTCCTGCTGTTCTCTCTAGGTGAGTGTTTGTAAACTGGCTGTTCAGCACAAATTGCCTTTGCTTAGAATAGACCATCATGACTTTATCTCTTTATGGAAAAGGGAAACACAGATGAAGTGAGTTCCCCAGCACAAAGGCACTGAAAAGGAATTAAATGCTGTTAAAGCAGCCAGACATCATTAGGAAAAGAAAGTCAGAGAATAACAAGAGTGGGAAAACCGATTTTAATGAAGAAAGAGCTTTTCCCAGCTGCAAAGAGAAGATGCAAATGAAACAGGAATGTGATGAAAAATCTTTGTTCTTACGTACTGTTTCATGTGTGTGGTGCCATTCTTCCAAGCTATTTTTAAGGTTACGGGAAAGAGGAATTTGGTGCATCAGATTCTCACTAATTTGAAAAACAGAATTGTTGGCATTCATGGCTAATACAAAAGAAAGCCACAGCAGGAGAGCGGGGACTACACAGTGGCCGTTTTCTGCTGGAAGAAGGACATATTTTCTTCAGTATCTGCTGGAGGGATATCTGATGATGTGTACTTGCCATGATGGCAGAGGCAGAATGGGCTTGTGGTTAAGGATTTGATGTGGGAGATCTGGGGTTGAACTTCCAGCTCTTCCTGTCTGACCTTGGGTAAGCCATTTGACCATTTCTCTCCTTATCTATACAACCATACTTAACAGTGATCCTTTTGTCTGTCTTGTCTATTTGGACTGTACAGCCTTTGCCTGCCCCTGGCTATGTGTTGTTCAGTCCCTAACACTAAGTCAGTGAGCAGGAGGAATGGCAGGAAAATGGCCACGTCAGTGTTCATTTGTCCGGTAGTGACCTGGCCCCATCTTCCACTCCTGAGTTTACACCAAACTAAAAACCTCCTGAACCTAACCCTCCAGCTCCAGTTCCATTCAAACCTCAAGGTCCAAGTACCATAATATTATAGCAGAGTTACTGTGCTGGCTGGATGGGTTGGTATGGCCTCTCAATGTGCAGCCCCTGAAGCCCCTGGGTAGTTTCTATCACACAGGAAGGCAACTGGTCAAGAGAGGAACCCTGAGCAACGTTTCAGGTGGGAGCATGCTTCCCTGCCTGCAGAAAACCATCAACGTGTCTTGGATTCAGCTTCAAGAGGGTGGCCCTGCTCTGCACCAAGTGTGCACCAGTCTTGTCACTCCAGGAACTCTGCCTGCTCATGTTCATCTACTGAGCCCGTGAGCTCACACAGTGACCACGGGGAAAAGTTGGCATCTGAGAACTCAGTCAGCATCTGGATTTCTCCTGCACTCTGACCCTGCCTCTCCTTCCCCATCTTCTGCTTTGGGGCTGTTCCTTTCACTATCTGTAACAAGCACAGGAGATCCTTGCAGGGCAGCTGGGGCATACCCTAATTGCAAGTCTACAGAATGACTGATTGAACCTTCTCAGAGTTATCTACAGACGGCAGAGCTGAAAAGCGAGGGGTGGGGGGGGTGCCTGGAGGTTTGGAGTTCTCCAAGTGCAAGAAAAGAAGTCTTTTTAGTTTCTCTGCTTTCTATAAGTAGCAAAATATCACTTCAAGGTGCAATTAGACTGTTGGTCAAAAGACAAAACACAAGAAAATCTCTTTTCTGATTTCATTTTGGTTGCAGCATTTGTATCTAAGGATGCAAGGCTTCCGGTGGGGTAATAGCTTCTCCTGAATCAACTTGTGTAGCTGGGAGAGACAAGCTTTTTGGCTTCATGTGCCTTGATCTCATCTGAGAATGAGGCAGTCATAATCCAAACTAGGTAAATTAGAGCAATTGCTTTCACTTTAACCTAATTAGGTTAATCAGTAGGACTGCTTGGAAGAGAAGTGCACCCTTATCATCTGTGGAGCAAAAAGGAGTCGGCAAAGGAAGAAGTAAGGGTTAACGGGCCAGAAAACCATTGTTTCTGCTAAATTCATTGTTTTTGGTGTCTAGGAAAGTTATGACTTTCTGAGTGCAGGCCTGTCTTCTGAAAGTAGTGTGTAGGCTGGCTTTGAGAATAATTATGAGAGCAGAAGTGTGGAGCCAGTGTTACATGAACAATGTTCTCCCACCAGTGATAGGGCATTTCTGTCCTTACCATTTTTTCTACATGAGTTTATCCTGGAATATGGTAATAGTTTACTTTCACCTACATTGTTTCCACCAGGGCATGGGATAATAGGGTTACCATATGTCTGGGTTTTCCTGGACATGTCCTCTTTTTGGGTCCTCGCAACTCCATTCGGGTGGGGGTGGTTTTTAAATATGAACAAAGGTCCCAGATTTTACTCTGCTCAGCTTCAAAAATTTTCCTGGCACTTCCTGGCTTGCCCTTACAAGGAGCTTCTTGGAGCTGGGGGAAGCAGGGGGAGGGTGATTGGAGGTAGGGGCATCATGTGCATCTGCACACGCGTGTAGCCGGCATACAACCAGGCAGGGTGGTGGAAGCAGCCCCCCAGCTGGAATCAGGTAAGTCTGTGGGAGGCCAGGGAGGGCCAGGGCTTGGGCACTGTCTGGGG